TATAGGTAGGAATTACAGCAACACCCAAAATTTCACTTTTGTTCAAATATGTCCAACTCACTCTGATTGTTATTAATAAATACATAAAGTGCCAGCATGTTTCTCGATCTCTCTCCAGGGTTTGGATGATGTGACAGGAGAGCCTCTGGTTCAGAGAGACGACGACAGACCAGAGACGGTAACGCGGAGACTGAAGTCCTACGAAACCCAGACAGAACCCGTCCTGGAGTTCTACAGGTACAGACAGCGTAAATCAAATATAGTTCAGTTTAGAATTGATGATGTATCAATTTTATTTTATTTTTTATCAGTAGTTTTATTTCTTGTTTTTAAAATAAAAAAATGTGTCCAAAGAATATCTCAAATTTTTGCTAACAATTAATTTCTTCAACTACCTTGTTAAGATACATTGAAGGCGCTTTTCTAATGTTCACACAAAACCCACCAGACCGCTTGAACAATTTCCACACAACGTATTAATTTGCCTTTTGGATTTTGTGATTTTTCCATGAGGTTTTTAGTCTTTTACGCTCCCAGACAGTTTATTTGCATTTAGTTCAGCAAGGAAGAACCAGAGACAATCAGCTCCTCTTACCCTGAAAAATGATCACACACTGATCACCCATGTGAGCACTGAAAATGAAGATCAAGTGAGTCTTTATTAATGGTGGAGTGAACTAATTTAAATTATTTCTCTCAAGAATTGCACCCGGGATACAGTTTATTTATGCTTCACTTGCTTTATCTGAATAATTGAAATCCTTTAGCTTTATCTCTGGCTGGGTAGAAGGATTAGAACTTCAAGTAGTCGAGGAAAAAAAAAAGCATAAGTGTAGGAGAAAGGTCACAGCTAATGAACCCTGACCTCTTCACTCCCAGTGACCAAGTCAGTGCCTAAGAATTACATTCCAAGGGAACTAGGGGGAAAGGGGGCTCAGCTCAGATTGTGTTTCTCCTCACATCATGTAGGCAGAAATATGTGGAGTGTACAGTTCAGCTTAAGTTAAAATGTGGCAACCATAAATTTCAATGTATTTTATTGAGATGTAATATGTGGCTAACCAACATAATGCGGAAGGAGCAGTTCCTTTGTTTATTTTGCACATGAAATCTGAAAAGTGTGGCATGCATCTGTAGTCAGTCAAGACTCCTTGAATAAATACTTTTTTTTTCTTGTTTTTTTTGGGGTTTTTTTTTACAACAATTATGAATAGAAACCAGACTTTTAACATTTTTATTTGGGTTGTTAATGTTTATCTGTTTTACCTTGCAAAGATTCTCCAGGTCTATCAAACTGACTGTGAGAATATTTTTTCTCCACAACCCTCTTCATCTGACCTCACAGATATTCTGACAGATTTAGTTCTGGTCTTGAACTAGGTCATTTATAAACTTCAATTATCATGAAGTGCTCCTAAAATTCAGGTCATCCAAGCACATCGCCTTCTTCTTCTTTTTGTTTATTGGTAGTTTGCAAACAGTTTGCCTTGAGAAATACAAGTTTAATATAAAAAAATTCTCTACAATCTAATGATGGAGGAACAAACCGATCATTCTTTCTTCATATAATGCCAGACTTCTCCCGGTCAATTTTATTTACCAACTTGACAAAATCCTCAATTCCATCTAAACAATGTTGTCCTTGGAAAAAAAGACAACATTCAGCTTTTGCAATGTTACTGATGATCTATATTCTCTCCAGTTATGCTCGCTCCTGAATGATAGCTTTTGCTTCAGTGTAACCTGTCTGCAAAGCAGTGCTTCAGCTCAAGGATTCAAATGAGTTAGTCCCAGGAAATCCTCTTGTGACAGCTCGAGTTCATTTGAGGTTGACCTGAATTGATGCCAGGTGTAAACTTAAGAAGGCTAAATACTAAAATGTCTTTAAAAGATCCTTCAACAATATTAGTTCCAGGCTTGTGCAAGGAGATTTGTTTGTGTTATCAGTATAAAGCTTGCGTTATATCTGCATTTACTTTCGACAGCCTTTATAAATACTCTTTTCTGAGTTTGTGTTTATTTTTCTCTTCCCAGGAGTAAAGGTGTGCTGGAGTCCTTTACGGGAACAGAAACCAATAAGATATGGCCGCACGTTGAAGCTTTTCTCCACAGAAAACTCTCCTCCCTCAGTCAGAGAGCTGCTTAGCCTCAGCGAAATCAAAGCACGGCTGAAGTTTACTGATGGAAAACCACACTGTGCACCGTCCAATCAAAAATGCATCATGTAAATAGTAGTTGAGCATAGAGGAATTATGTTTTATTGAAGGTAAGCACTTACATTTTCAAATGAACATTTAGCTCTTTTACTAAAAACTAAATAAGACTACTACCTATGTTAGAAAAAAGTCTTTTTTTAATATGTTCTTAAAACCTCTGTGTTGTTGAAATAATTTGGGGGAACTCAGATGAGTGTGTGCAAAACCTTTTTAACCATTTGCTGTTAGTGTGTCCACTTTGTGCCTTTATGAAGTCAGAAGTTAACAGTTGACTCAAACTTGGAGTTTTTGCAGGAGCACAACATGAAGGGTTACATTGCACAAGACGCTGCAGGAGGAACGCAGCAGCTGTTTTGGTGTGGTTCTTCTACATGTACCGATAATCCCAACACACGCAACCTGTTGGCATGAGCTAAACATCAGCAGCAGCCTTTTTGAAAATCATAAATCCTGGAAAGGAGGCTATTTTTGTAGTGTAACAAGTGTGCATATCAGCCTAGTGTGGCCCGTTTCTTCTGCAGTGGCTTTCCTTTAAGCAGAACATGCTGTTGGGTTTGATTTTCATATATGCACGTGCCTTTTGCTGCTGTTCAGCTTGACAAAGGGAGGGTTTTAAACACTTTGTTTTCCTCTAATCATGGACCAATTTAAATCATTGATAAATGGACATTTATAATAATGGATTTTTTTAATTCTTACAAGAAATGTATTGCTTAACAGCTTTTTTCAACCACCTCAGGTCTTATAAGTGATGCTTCTGAAACACTCCATTCTTATAAATTTCATCGTCCGTTCCCAGTTATGACTATATTCCCTGTGAGCGATATTTGGCTCATATTTATTTAGTCTGACCTGACAGAAGAAAAATAGATGAACACATACATGAACACATGTTATCCAGGGTCAAATGTCGTTGAAAGGAATGAGCTTGCAGTTTTTGCACATTGTTCTGAATGTTTACCCTGTGAAAAAGCCTTAAAAATGCTTCTGTGCAGTCTACTGTATGTGGTCATTCTGGTTTTTTAAACACTTCCATGCATTGTTGAAATGCAACAACCATCTTTTCATATACAACTCAGATATTTATGAATCATAATAAATGTCTTGTACTGTACACTCGAATGACAATGTGTATTTTCTTTTGTTGTTTACCGACTTTGACAGCAGGACTGTGTCCTCTATCTGTGTCAGTAGTTTAATATGCTGTCATTCTGTGTCATTGGGCAATTTTAATGTTAACGGTCCACATGCACATTTATTGACCAAAACCAGACATCATGCACAACTCCATTTCTGTTTTGGCTGATTGGTAAATGTCTAAAAAGCTTTTGAACAAATGTCCTCTTTATTCCAGCACCATAATTTGACACAAAAAATTTGACAAAAATTTCAGTAATAAATGTAATGCTGAGAATATCATCTTTCTTTTCATTTAGCATCTGTACCAACGCAGCACTCACAGGCAGAAGCTTTGCCTTGCTCCACGGAGGCCTGAGTAACAGAATCTGAGTCAAAATGCATCAAAGCATGACTCATGGAATTGATGTAAATTATTTTTGTCTTTATTTTTAAAGAGGCAACAGAAAGCAATAACAGTTGACCACAGCACATAATTGAGTTTTGATGCATTTAAGTCATTCTCTATGAAGTGCGGTGCTGCAAAATCAGTGCAACACGAATCTGCCTTTAGTCCCAAATGACATTCCCCTAACTGCAAAACCCATGTCACTGATGGTGTTGCTCAGCAGATTTTTACATTGTTTTATACACTCTTGTTAAGATCATAAAAATTGTTACCATGGGAACAGAAAAAACAGGAGCCCATTTTTGAGATAAAAGCTCCACAGCGGTGAGAAAATGTAGACAATTGGTGACATGTTTAAAATGGAAGATTGTAACAATCAATGCTGATGTCTGCATCTGTTCAACTTGACTGGGGAAATAGAAATTAAAAAATAAATCATATAATGATGCACAATTATATGAATTGGCTAAAAGCTTTTCATCTAAAAATATGTTTAATGAAATAGTTATAGTTACACACACACACACACACAATCTTTTAGATCAGCCCTTTTCCACCTACTGCTGATGCTTTATTGTTATTATTTTTTTACAGATGTCCTGTTTAAAGCTGAACCCACACTAAAATGTTTCTTGAGTTTTGGTTTCAGGTACATCTGGCCAATGTCAGCTACCTGTAATCGGTTTCTATCAGAAGTACAATAGCTGAAGGGTTGGCAATTTCAGGACAACCATTTCTCCAGAAAAATAATTTGCTTTCATCTCCTTAAACTCCAGTATCTGGATACTGTCTGCTGTTTACACCTTTCAAAGTGAACATGGTTATTTTTTGTTTATTACATGTCAGCTGACTTTTTTTTTTAACTGCTGAGCTTTATTATAAACTGAAGGGAACCTGTAACCTGATGAAAGAAGTTAAGCAACATCCCAAACTTTAAACATCTCACAAAATCAGGCTTAATTCATCACTCCAAAAACGAAATCGAGTTAAATGGAAAACTACCTAAAAGTACAGAAAAAAAATTGAAAAATAATTGAAGATTGATGGAGCCAAACGCAGAAAAATCTTGAAACCTGTTAAAGGCTGCAAAGAATTGAGTGGTGCTGAGGGGTCATCAGGACAGATTTGTGCATTAAGAAGGTCCAATTGAAGTTCACACTAATTTAATTGAGTATATATATCTGATCTTGTTTTAAAGTGTTGTTAAACATTTACCCCTTTTGACTCAATATGAGGTCATATGTAAAGAATGCTGCAAATTAAAAACATGCTGTATATTTTATTTTTTAATCGCAAAATGTTTACAGTTTATTAATAGGGTTCAGACTCTTAACCCTTTCTGGACATGTGATGTTTTGAGAGGGAGTTACTTGCAGTCATCCTTAAAGTGCATCAGCTGTTCACTTGTTCGCATGGCACAAGCGTTCAAAACAACAATTTAAAGCCACTGATGGCTAACATCATTCTTGCTGTCTCAACCATAAATCTCAAACATCATAAAACCACACAAGCTATAAAACAGGTGACTCTTGGTGGCAAAAGCATAGAAAAGTTACTGTCTTGAAATGTTTCTTTACTGGTTTTGGTACATGAGTGCTCCAGTCCAGACTGACTGCAGCAGGTTTGCCCGAGAGATCAGCAGTGAGTGAGAGAAAACCTGATCAAAACAGATGTGGTGATCACAGAAAATAAATAGCAAAAACAGCAACCACATTATTTATTTTTCCTCTGCTCGTTACAATAAACAACTGCTTCATTTAACATGTTCACTTTAACTGCTCCTTGTAGGTGAGGTTAAGGCAAAAAGAAAAAAACAAAAAAACATGTTGTTCAGAGGAGTCAGTTGGAGAAGTAAGGCCTGCACTGCACATGATTTTGTAATACATAACATGATGCTGTGTTTACCAATAAGGTACATGTAGCTGGGAGACTCTTACACATACAGATTTGTCTACAAACAGGATGATAATAAACTTAATTCAAAGCATTTCCCCCTTCACATTATCAACAGCCAATCACATTTCTGATCCAGCTTAGCAAATCACAAAGCTCCTGATTTTTCAGATATTGTTCTCTTAGATTTTCACATGAATTGTTCTCTGTACTTTTTTAATTCTTTGTGTTTTAAGAACAGCAAAAGATCAGTTTCATCTTAAGAAAAAAGAGGAGGTTACACTACAGCGTAGCATAAGCATTTATTGGCTAGCAGGACACTGCAGCAGTAGCCAAATGCAAATAAAATGTTGAAAAATGTCTACCATGAGCAAAACATCCTCTTGGTTCTGCTGAGAGATGCAACACAAAGAATGATCATGTCTCCATTTATTCCTGCTCTGTGATGCTGTTTCAGCCTGCTGCTCTGGAAGAGAGGTGACAAACTCAAGATTGTTCCTATGTGGACGGACGAGTGAGACGGGAGGAAAGCAGGAGTCCTTATGATATCTCCATCATCCGGATGTCTTCTGTTTCTGTAGTGTCGTCCTTTGTCCATTTCCCTGTATTTGTCCACAGTCCAGCCTCTAAACAGTGCTTCATCTTGAATTCAGGATCCTCCTTGAAGGCAAAGGCAAGAAAAAGAAATAAACTGCTGAAACAATAAATTATGTAAGTATTGCATAGGCTGAAACCATCAAATATAGTTCTGAAATAGATTTTGCACAACCAGAAAAGGCTAAATAGTGCCATGCGAGACACGATCAAGAAATAAAAACATTGAAATCCAAAAGCAGGACCAGCTTCAACTTCAATAAGCTCAACCATCTTGAGAAACAGGATTTTCTATTATGGAGTAAATGTTTGGCTGCTAATCAAGCTGTGGGGCCGGGAGAGGGGGATGTGGCCCCCTTGCACTACCTCGCTAACCAAAACCTTTTCAAAGCAATGAAAAGGTTCGCTGAATAGAATGTGGAGAACTAGCTTATTATTGGCTATATGGAGATGTACCACAGAAACTGTCTAAATGTAAAAAATTTCACCACAAAGTAAGTTCTTTTATTTCCACATTTAATAAAAAACAAACAAGGTGAAGAATATTTGAATGACTCCCACCAATGAATATGAAGCTTTGGCAGCGTCTTTGTAACCTTCCATCAATTTTGAGAAGTCAAAATTTTAAAGATTGTCATGAATCTCAAAGCTCCGTCTACCAAGAGCATTTAAGCTCAGTAAATAATGACAGTGTGACTCCACTGAGGTTTGATTCCAGTCCTTTTAAATCTAATACAGACCAGATCATCCTTACTATGAGCCGAAATACTAAACTCTAAACATTAAAGAGGGTGTACTTTTTTTCCCCATGACAATGTGTTATGTGTACATTGCCTAACATCTGCAGAAGTAATAACAGCATTCATAAAAATATTGGTCAATACACTACAAACAGAAAATATTCCCCCATTTTTTTGATTGATATAAAATATGAAACATGAAGTATTGCATATTGTCTGTACTGTTATTTTATCTTTCGGGTTTAACTAAAATGTGCATTAATATATTTTTATTTTGCTTATATGTGCCGTATTTGTACCTCAAAACATATTCCTTCCATTTATAGTTGCAAGTCTAATTTTAAATAACCTCATTATACAAAAATGTGTTTTATTAGACAGATAGGAGAAACTTTACTACGAGAAGTTTTTTTCAGTAAGAAATTGTTAAAAGACAGACTGACTTTCTGCAAAGATCTGCAGCCAAATGCACTAAACTGAACATGTGCAGTGTGTTGAGCATTTTTTGACAATGTTATAACAAATATTCTAAAAATATTTTTTTTTAAATTGGCAATTTTTGGCAACACTTTCACTGACTTTAAAACAACTGCTTTTTAGTGCCATCTATCATTTGAACAGGGTAACTACAAGATTTAGTGACGCCTGAGAACACAGCAATACTCACCTGTGTTATAAAGTCTGTTGTTACTTTGGTGTTAGGTCTACAGTTTGTGTCCAAACTCTGATGATCAACGTTCAAAGCGTCGTTTCTACATTTCGCTGCATATTCTTCAACTCTCTGTTTGAAGGTGTCGAGTTCTGCTCGGAAAACTTCAAGGTAGACGTCCTGCCCCTCCTGCAAAGCAACATGGAAAATATTTGTTTATAAAGCCTTGGTTGCAGTATAAAGATAGCAGATATAGATACATTATTTAATATATAAACAGTCTATGGCTTACTTTCGCTTTGTGGAAAAATTGCCTGAAGCAGCCTCGAGGGTCCTGTTGAGAATTTGAGGCCATTTCTAAGATAAACTGCATAACCACGGCTTGGTGCGCCACCTGCTCCATCAGTGCTTCTTTCTGCAAGACAAAACACAGAATTAGCATTAGCAAGGTTATGTTTAATACACGTTTGACTTCCTAAACTGTAAACAACGTCAAGAAATGTTTGTATTTCAGTATGCACTGCCTTCTGTTTGGAAACGACAATGATGAAAATCTCAGGGAAGTTTCAGATGGCTATAAGAGAGGAGCTTACGATCCTGTTGTGTAAAGCAAAGAATCACCTTAGCATCTTTTTGCTTAGTCTCTTTATAACTGTTGAATCATAAACATCAGCCTAAATGAGTTCTGCACGACTTTTGAAGTTTTTCTGAGTTTTTTCTGTGATGTCAAAATAACATCTTTATCATATTACCCCTTCTTGCTGTAGTCGAATGCACCACAGGACTAAGAAATTAGCTGATTCCTCACAGATGAGCTGAGGCATGTCTGAGAGGAATCGCTGGCTGTCGTCCCATCTCCGTAACATACCTGAAACAGGAAAGTCATGTCTTATCAAAACTTGAAGGCTAAAAATGCAAATTTGGAAAAAAAAATGTTTCTGAATATTAAAAATCCTTTTCTGCATTTTTAATATGTAAACAATATGTAAACAACAAAGTAAACAATATGTAAACAACAAAGGATAATAGCAGATTTAGGAACAAATGGCTTTGTCTTGAACTTTAATTAGCCTGAACAAGTAAAAAGAAAGGGATGTGTCGTTTGCTTGAAAACCAAAAGATTAGCAGTGAGAGTCTCACTTACCAAAATGCCTAAGCTCTTGTTCATATTTTTGGAGAAATGTTTTGCAGGTGTCCTGATTCATTTCCACAGGCTGATGGTGCAAATTAATAATACTCTAAAAGCAATAAAAATCAACAATTATACCAACACACACAAAAAAAAGCAGACAGGAGAAATTAATTATTTTTCCAACATTATGACATTTTTTTTTCTTTATGATACACCTTATCAAAAACATCCCAACTTCCAGTGGCACCGAGGACGGGACTTCGACTGGGTTCTGGGCCTGCCAGCATGCTCTCCTTGCGACGCCACTCCTCCTCTGTGTTTGTGAGTTCAGTCGGGCAGACAAGGGTCCGCGCTCGCTCCTGTTCCAGGGACTCGGAGCTGTGGACCCCCAAAGAGCACATCTGATCCTGCGCTTCAGCCAGCCGCCAGCTGGAAACGATGGAGGCTTTCACACAGCGCTGCTGGCTCTGGCAGAGTGACGCCATGGGGCAATCACAAAGGTGGGACGACGGTGACTAGAGAGATGTCAACATGGGAGAACTTACATTTTATTCTACTTAGTTCCTAAGCAGATGCAGCAACTAATCTTTCATGAAGTTCATCGTGCTTCTTAAACCCTAACTTGTAATATTCTATCTTGCTTTATTTCACTGCCGATTGAAAGGCTAAATAAAGAAAGCTACACCTTTCTTTGAAATTATCAGGCTTTTTCTGGCTGAATTTTACTATAGTTCTGTGTTTTTAGTAACAACTATTACAAATATCCATCCATCCATCCATCTTCTGTTCACCCTCGTCCCTAGTGGAATCGGGAGTGTCTGGTGCCCCGCTATGTTCCAGGCGAGAGGCGGGGTACACCCTGGACAGGTCACCAGCCTGTCGCAGGGCAACACAGAAACAGACAGGACAACCATGCACACACACTCACAATTAACCTAAGAGTTATGTTTTTGGACTGTGGGAGGAAGCCGGAGTATCCAGAGAGAACCCACGCAGAGAGAACATGCAAACCCTGTGCAGAAAGACCGGGAATTGAACCCAGGACGTTCTTGCTGCAAGGCAACAGTGCTACCAACAATAACAGAATAAAAAAAAAAGTGGCATGAGTGGTAGTAATTATCAATCCAAAATAAAGATTATTATAGTTATCTCCATTTATGAATCAAAGTATAACTTTCCAAACTTTAACTGACATTAAATAAGTACATCAACATTTGAGCTCTCAGTTAATGTTTCAGAAGATCCAAATTGGTGATTTTTTTCTTTTTCAGCTTTGATGCCTTTAACAAATATTTTGGGAGAAAAATCTAATTTTTGCCATGTTTAACCAGCCGATCGCTGATCCAGATCTAATTCCAACCTTTGGGCCATTTGGTCACGCATCTTTAATAACGGGCCATCTATATGCAGAACAGAAGATGGATACAAATATAGAGTAAATAAATAAGAGCTCTGCTGTCTCATTAATATTTAGCACTGAAGTAAGCCTTTGGATTGTTTCAATCACTTAAATCAGTAAATCCTACCAATGGCTGGAAAAAGCTGGACTCAAGGACAGCACAGAGGCCCTCATCCTGGCCGCCCAGGAACAGGCCCTAAACACCAGAGCAATAGAGGCCCAGATCTACCACACCAGACAAGACCCAAGGTGTAGGTTGTGCAAGGAGGCCCCTGAGACAGTCCAGCACATCACAGCAGGGTGCAAGATACTGGCAGGGAAAGCGTACATGGAACGACATAACCAAGTGGCAGGCATAGTGTACAGCTCAGAGGATAAGAACCACCCACGGTGGGTGAGAAAGGATTTTTCTTTTTTTTTATTATAGCACACAGAGGTCATAATTTGGGATATGGATGGATCGGAGATGAAGAAGTTTGGGGAATTTGATTTCACTAATTATGTATTTGGTCTGCTTGTCACATTTTCTATTGTCATGTGAAACTTTAGAGAAATATCAAAGTGAAGTACAGCACACGTTTTTCAGATAACTGTCTTTGATTTGGGTTAGCTACTCCTATAACACAGCAAATAAGCTCTGTTAAGTGCTGTAAACTCTTTCTGAAATAATTCAGACTACTAAACGTCACAAAAGCAGGTATTACCCCAAAATCTACTTCTTAATGTAAAATCAGTGTTAAATTACTAATTATTCTGAAAGAATGTTAGCTTGTCAGCGTATGGGAAATAAAGTTTAATGCTAACATATAAGCTAATAATTAGAATTGAAAGTTCATTACCTGTTGGCTGGGATGGACACCAGTTAAAGTCCTCGGTGGCGAATTTGGGTCGCCATTCTGCTTATCGTTTGCATGAAACGGAGCTCCGTGTCCCATCCACGCCATAACCGCAAAAGCAACTCTCAAGAGTACCGTGCCCGTTGGAAGTGCTAGTCTATGCTAGCTATGTTTGAGGAATCCCACAGTAGTTCTGCCTCTTTATACTCAGCTGTCAGCCACGGCTATATGAGATATAACTAGTGATCTGAAAAGCCAAGGGAGTAAAAGTAGAAATGTGATTCAGGACAGGAGTATGTCGGCGCTACAAACAATAACAACAACCGTTGCTCTAAATAAGGCAGACTGCAGCTGTTTTGGGACATGACGTATTGGGTACGTAAGACTATGTCACGTGACTGTGTACCACGTGACATAGGCAGACGTTTCTCCAGGATTCTATTTAGTTCTAGCAAACTTTCCTTTAGGTCAAGAGCAATTTAAAATGTCGCTTTGTGAAATTTAGTGGTTCTCTCTTTCATTATGTGCAATAAGCAAAATTGTGAAAAAAGAAAAAACCTCTACATTGTTTCAGGTTAGTATTCACACTTTGTGCTTGGTCCTTTTTTTCATACCTTTACAAAATGATGAAACAAACCATATGTTACATAAAGAATACCCTAATACTGCTATGCAATCGAAAACTTGATGCAATCAGCGTTATCATCCAGCCATTGAAGCAGGAGATACTTGGCTGGTCCTTCCCATGTATCTGCCCACGCTGCAGAATTTACATGGGACAAACAATGGTGAGTATAAAGGAAAACAAATAATTTACTATAAATATATCTTGGAACAAAAGAAGCATATTCATCTAGTGGCCCAGAAGTGTTCGCTTTAATTAAAACATTAGAGGTAAACTGCTACCACATAAAAAATACGTCCTAGTGAGTGAAGCAAAGTTGTAAATTAATGTTGAAATTAAAGCATTATGACTGTCAATCGTAAGATTAAATGAATCAGAAATGAGAATAAGGGACACAACTTGGACCACTTGTCCAGAATCTATTGTCCAAATCTACCAATTTTCTATTTTACAAAATAACTAAAAACAATTAGATTTTACTTATTCATTCGTATTACAATTATTTTTGTCAGAGAACAAGTTTATTTTTGTTAAGGATGAATACAATGTTACCAAGAATTGATTTCCGCTTGGCTGCATTTACAATGTTCCACCAGAAGTGGGAGGTAGAGTCAGTATAAACCTGGGTAGCAAAGAATTTCGACCCTTATTTAGACTCACAGGCATGTGTGTGAAAATGTTTCGGTAAAACTCTCGTTTTGAATTATCAAAACATGCATGGATTTGGATCATACTATTATTTGAAATTGTATTTAAAGTTAATAATATTCAAGGTCTGTTGGACTTGAAAAATCTCCAAAATGTGAATAATTGTGTAAGAGAAAAAGCTGCCTGCGAAACCAAACTCAGGGTGAACTTAGAACCTTAGAGACGCGAGTGAGCGAGAGAAACAGAAAAGCTCACACTTTGTCAGTCTGCGTGACGATTTCTAACTAACTGAGCAAACTAGCTAGAGGTGAGTCTATTTAGCTTAATATTGAAATTACTTAACAGTAGGAATGAAACAATTTTGAGCCGGTTGACACGTTTAAAACAACTGAATGTTGAACTGAAAACATGTCAACCCAGCTATCGGGCTTTTGAGCTAGCTTATAGTGACACAGGCGTGTTAACGAATCGAAAAACAACGGACTTCGGAAAGGTTTATGCCTTTATTTCCGGAGAGGCTAGAAACCAATACGAAGAATCACAGTGTCTGACATACCTATGACAGACAAGTTAATCCTTGCTTACAGAAAATAGTAGGATGATTTCCCCACCACGAGGTGGCGCTACAGGCAAAAAAACGCCTCGTCTTCATTCCCCATCTGCAATTCCCCGCACTGTGCAGCAAAGACTGCGCTGCCAAAGGCCATCCAAAGCCTGCAGACAGTCAGAGAGAAACAACCAGACTTCAGGCTTTAAAAACATCCCCAACCTGAAATCAAGCTTTAGAGCCAGCTGGCATATTGCCCTTTCTCAGGCTTCTGTTCCCACAGTTTTATTTTTCCATGCAGCTGCTTAAAATTGCAACACGCATTTTGATGCCTTTGTTGGGGCTTGATTTATACACACTCACATACACACGAGCACACAGAAAAATGCTGAGCATATGACAAGTCCCTCAAGATATTTTGGCATTGATGGATAAACACTCCAGGTTCAGACTCACTCTTGCGTGTAGCCTGAGATTATATAAAAGAAACAGTTATAAGGATATATTAATGGGAGAAAACGAGAAGGGCTGCCACAGAAATATTCAAACTTAGTTTCCCTAAAGTGTGTTGTCCAAGGAAAAGTATTGTACTAAATAAAAGAAGTTTTTGTCACTGTTTGAAATTTCTTAATAGTTTTATAACTAATATAAGTGTAGTAGTCTTGAAGTCTGTTGATGTAATAACTGACACTTGTACTGGTCAATTCTGGGTCCTTTCCAGGCATTTAGCCCTACAAAAATCACTAATGTATTTGCGTTTGTGCCATATTAGGAAAACATGCAGTTTTAATGTTATTGTTGAATATTGCGATGATACATATCTGTGTTTACTAACCCACATTGTCCCTCTTTAACTTGGTATCTTTGAATTTTACGTGAATACTCACCAGTAAACATATTTTGATGTAATATGTATATACTGTGACAATTTGAAATAGTTATGGTGGATACCTCACAATCTGATCTCTGTGCTTTCATTCTACAGAGTAACAGCAGAACATCAACCTGGATACAGAAATGAGTCTTACTTCTCTAGAAGAAAAGGGTTAGTAACTCAGTTTCATTGCACATGGTAGTTTTGTAAGTCCATACGTGTTTTACACATTTTTTAGAGTGGCTACAACCAGAAACAAAAGCAAAGGCGATACTTGAAATGAACAATGGATTATTATTATTTTTTTTAAGAAAAGTTGATTGAGATTAAATAGTTTTTAAACTGCGATAAGTTGTGGAGGAGTGGCACTAATATCTTTCACTGAAACAGTACAGTAGTTATTTCTCTGTGCCTTTTAAAGTTTCACAAGGTTACTGCCTAAAACAATTCACACTAAATAAAACCAGCATTGGTTAGTAATGACACTTAAAAGGTTCAAGTCCCACATTCTAGTTTTTGAGCAGGAACATCGTTTCGGGTTACCGGACAACAGTGGACTGTGAAAAGTATTCTCTAAGGGAATATTGTAGCATTTTGGTTAGTTGATGGTTAGTTGATTGTGCATTTCTTCTGTACCTTTAAAATCCAACATAATTTCATTTAAAATTACACCACCAGGAACCGCCAGATACTAAATAAACCCCACCAGGTTCTGAAATCCAAATCAAGGGAAATTAGTACTTTCATGTACATTTCAGTTTTAGATAAATGAATTTTATGTTTGATATATGGGCTATAGAGTACTATTTATTTCAGAGAGTATGGGGGAGTATACCCCCTCTTACAAAAAATATACCATATAACATTGGAATGACTCAGCAGTGTTAGTAATGCTAACATGCGATAATCCTGATGTATAAAAAAATAATAATGGTTGCTCAATGCAGTACAAAAAAATCTTAACTGTTCCATACAAATCTAGCTTAGCCCTAATTGATACAATTCAATCAAATGACAACCCTCTTTCAAAATGGACATGTCATTGTAGATTTATAAGAGATTTAAATCCACTTGAGCTTCTAGTAGGTCAGCTTTAAGTGGACAACTGACATATCAACAGTACTTTAATGGGCATGCTAATTTCCAAATGCTGCCATTCTATTCATTTGCTAGCTTGTGTTCTAGCACCTTTGACAATACACAAAAGAAGAGAAGTACTTGTTGAAGAATGTTGTGGCATTTGTCCAGTGGATTTGAGCCATTTGCAAGACTTCCAAGTCACACTGAAGCCCTTCTAGTGGCTGTAGTAACATCAAATGCCTCAATTAGATACTTGATCTTGGTGTTTCTAAAACTTTGGCAGCTGGTTGACAACATTCAGCCAGAGCTGCCTGTTGATTTTACCTTGGTAGATATTTCTGCAGATGTTTCACAATAGTTGGAATAAATTAATGCTGAGTCTGATTACAGTGAACTAAACAACAAAAAAAAAGACTTCATCTTCCCAGAGGTGAATGAGTTCATGCACTCGATGGTTGTCGGTGTAATTCAATGTGGTGATAGGGTTATTATGTTGTAATGAATGAGGGTGCCTCCAGCTCTGTCATTCGCACTTCAGCCAAGACCGTAAAGAAGCTACGTGCTCAACATTCCTCTTCTCATGCAAACAGTGAGGCTGAAGTGGGTTGTGCTGTTTGTGTTTGTGTGAGTCCCTGTGCACATTATAGTCTATGCATGTTTGTCAGAGGGATGAATGGGCTGGAGTGGGGTGTAGAACAGCAGGGAACCACACAGCAGGGCAAAGGGAGCCTTGCAGCCATTCAGCCGCTATAAATTGAACGACATTTGATGGAACTGTGATTGTGATGTTTCAAGATGCCCATCTTTGTGAACTTGATGCATAACTACTTTGCTTTGAAGCTTTCCATTGTGTGAAATTATGTGGTGTGTCAAGTCATGCTACTCTAAAAATCTGTTTCTTATACAAATACCTAGTAACTGGGAATCAGATTTTCCATTTATATGCATTAAATGCAAAATGTACACATTTCTTGTTCAGTTTTGGCTTAATTACTGCTCTGAATATATTGTTTGTGCAAATTACCTTTTCTTTGAGTTTGTATATGCTAGTTAGCAATTAATCAATTACTAAATTATTTGACAAATATTTTAACAGTCAATTATTATGATTAATCTGATTAATAGTTTCAGCCCTTTGTCCGTCCATCCGTCCGTCCGTCCATCCATCCCTCCGTCCGTCTGTCAGTCCATTTGTCCTCCTGTTTGTCCATCTGCCCATCTTATCCATCCTTGTCGACTGAACATTATGTAACTTGTCTAGAAATATCTGCAATAAATCCAAAGTGAATTTCAGTATTTTTTATATTGACTGAGAGCCCTGAGCTCTGCTAGTTTGTCTTTGGAAAGTGTAGTGGTAGTGTATCCATACCAAAGGATTAATTTGTGCTGGTAAAAAAATATTTAGTTATTGGACAAAAAAATAATTTACTTGCAGAATGTTCAACAAGAGTGTGTGTTTTATTTTATACAATATTTCTCCTTAAGCACAGAGTTTGTCTGGCTACGATGGATTAGAGGCCAACATAGAGAAGACTATGGGCTTGCTTTCCCAGGCTGTGTTTCAGGAAGGCAGTATTTTTTACAGCATGACCAGCGCATAGCCTTTTTCCTGGGGAAATCCGAGACAAAATCAAGAAAGGCTGGTGCAGGGAGGGAGAGAAGAACAGGAAAACTAGCCCTGGGAAGGAAGGGGGGAGATCGTAAAGGGGAGCAGGTAGGCTGGAGGCCACACAGAACGAGAACACACAGAACAACCAAGAACGAAGCTTCTGGGAAGGATCAGTGAAATATACAGGCATCCACACTTCTAATTCTGATCCCAAACTCCTCCATTGGAAGTAATTTGGCCTAAAATGTGCTCAGTGTCTTCTGCCAGCCATTCAAGCAGCAGATTCAACTGGAATGCAGAGCTAATGGTGGGTTCCTCTGCTGCCCAAGCAGCCAGCCTCAGCTGTTAATCCACAATTATAGCTGCTCTGCTATGCTTGTTCAAGAAATTATATCTGACATCATTTGTACTTAGCTATATCTTCTTTAGCAGCAATGAAGAAACATTTTCTTTTCATCTCGCACTACCGATAAAGTTTGATTAACATCTTGGTGGAAAAAGGGAAATATTTGAAGAAAACCACCAAGAAATTAGAACATAAATCTACATGACTTGGAAATAACAGTAAAGGTCAAACAAATCCTTGTTTATAAGCTTTTCCAAGCCTTAATTGAACAGTTACTTGAGGTATTAATGTTGTAGAGCAACTGCTAAAATTGTGCATTGATTAAAAGTTATGTCCACAGATAATTGAACAAATGTTGCATTTAATTTCTTCAATTTATAGCCTGTATTAGTTCATTTTATTTGTGAGAAATTAATACAACTTCTATAGTCCAGGACAATCAACAGTGGCTGTATTTAGTGATGAATAATGAAAATGATAATTACGTTTTTTACTTTAGTGCTAGATTATTTTTCTTCTCTTCTATACTTAAATATGACATATTGGGGTTTGTTTCGTATGTTATCTATCTGAGATGGAAGGAGGAATAACTTCAAATTGTCAAAGAGCCTAAAAAACATCTGTATCAGCCAGGTCATTGCAGGCTTCAAAAATGTCAAACTAAAATGATTATCCCTGACCAAAAGAAAACATGGAAAAACATGTTATTCAAAATTATAAAAATTATTAATTGGCCAATAATCGTGTTATAATAATAAATGAGGAAGAAACTTATTGCATAATTATTGACCTTTATTTGCAAGGTAAAGTGTTTGGTGCTGTAAATAAGTTTAGCTATTGCAGATTTTATTTGCAAATGTGCACTTTTTTGTAAATTAGACAAACATTAGTGTTGAAATAAAGCTTTAATGAAAACAGAACCCCTCACCTTTGTGTGTTTTATCCCTTCAGTGCTCAGTGACCAGTTCTTTGAGCTATGGAACCAAAATAATCTGCAGATGGTAAGAGTCACCTTCACATTGTCACTTTCATGCATGAATGAATGTATGTGGGTTTAACAGGTCATGTGTGTTTGCATGAAGCACGGGAAGGAGCAAACTACTGAGAGTCCCCAGTATCATTAACTGAAGTGTATGTGTGTGTGTGTGCGTGTGGGTTTTAATGAGGAAAGCAGAAGGAAGGAATTTGTGTTGCTCTGAATGAACTTGAGAGGAGGTTATTGAGTGGATGACATCTGTTTTGGAAATTAAGACACAGTTCAAGGTATTCTCACACAGATATCGTTTTCTCTTGTTGGAATTTCCTAATGCCAAGCTTTGGATTCTTACGCCAGGATCCCTTATATGTCCCAAATGTCTGCGTCTGCTTGGCACAAAGAGCAATATTTCTGTGTGTTTCTCATATTCTGAAATAAAATTCATGAATCTGTGTTGCAAAACATTGTCTTATTAGAATCAAAATCTATAGAGGATAAAGGCCCGGAACTTCACCTAGGTATTTTTCAGGTCTGAAACCTGAAAAACGAGCAAGGAAAATAATTTTATTGAAAGACTGTTTTAGACGTCCTTCTATTTATCCATCTGTTTGTGCTCTTATCGAAGCACTGAGCATACTTTGCCCTAAATTTTATATATATATATATATATTCAGTTATATATATATATATATATTCGTTATATATATATATATATATATATATATATATATATATATATATATATATATATATATATATATATATATAAGTAGCAAACAGTAAGAGTGATGTGAAAGACTTAAGTTGTTGAATCTACAAGCTGTGGCATTCCTATCATAAACATAGTTTTAACTTTCCGTCCTCTTCTTTCCACCCACAGCTACATTTGGCGGCTACCCAAGGATTTTCAAAGCTGTCTGAGCCTCTGGAGGCCTTACTAACAATCCTGGAGAGCTGTCCGGGGAAACAGAAGGGTCGGAGCCACACCCTGGGCTATCACATTCTCATGGAATTCCAGACGTGGATGAAGGAACATCCTCAGGTAGTTGAGCCAGGTGTTCAGCCCCTTGGCTCTAGATAAGATTGTTGCTCCAATGTGACTTACACTTAATATGTGTAAGCAAATATGGTTTTGAGCTGTTCAAATACTGTTTGTATTTCCACAGTCTGTTAACTTTTGCCGTGACAATGTAGACCAGTTGCATCAAAACCTTTTCCTACATGTTCCAAAATTGTCAAGCTGAAATTTATTTTATTTTGAATTAAAAAACAATATATATAATTTTATTGTTGTTTTTTTTTTTATTTAACCGCTTAACAAAAGACTAGACATGTTACATTCAAATGAAACACACTAGTCAGATTTTTGTACAAAAGATATCTGATATCACATAAGAAAAGCATGCAATTTTCTAATTTTTTTCAGTTCAGTTATTTTAGTTCTCAGCAATAAGAATAAGGTAATGATCACTGTTTTTTTCCAGAAATGTATCATTTTGCCATCTTCAGGAAATGGTTGCACCCAAATCTGCACGAGTAAATGCTATTTACTACAAAATGCAAATGAAACCAAAAGGAGTGGTTATTAAAAGACAAATACATGTGTTTTGCATTCTGTTTTGTTTCAAGATTGAAGAAGGTATAAAGTAGCAAAACCAAATTTGTATAGTTCTGTTTTATATAATTACAATTTGTATAATTACAGTCTGGGTCTGGACAATAACATTCAAAGGGCCATGAATGGCCTGCGGGTTGCACTTTGGGAAACCACAGTTTAGATAGTGTTACAACCTCCAAAAAAAATCCCTCCGTGTCAATGTAAGTTGTATCAGTTCTTTCCATCTTTCATTCATGTTTACCTTTCCAGGTGAGCCTGAGCTCTCTGGCTGAGGACAAAGCAGTGGAGCTCCAGCGACGGGCTCTTGCTCTGCTAACAGACACCCAGCCCAACTTTGTAGAGACTTTAATCAGCATCTACCAGCTTAAGACTTTGGCTCCTTCCATACAATGTATGCAAATTTACAAGCTCCAAGATTTGAACTGTTATAAAGAGGTGAGTGAGTGATTTGACTTTTGATATAACAAAAATTCTCTTAGTCCATACAATTTAAAGAGGCAACTTAATTTTGGCACTTGTTTAGTTTTGTCTGTTTTCTTCTGACAGGCAGTAGCTCTCAGCATAAAGCTTGGATTGCAGACTGAACTAAATACAGAGGAGGTAAGACTAAGATTTTTTTTAAATGTATAATTAATGTTTTGTCTATCCCTGCACAATAAAAGATAAAGAAAACAAGTTCAAAGTTAGATTCTCAGATGAACTTTTTTGTAATTGTTCATTTCTATCTGTTCTCTATCCATTATTATTTTGCAGATGCTTATCCCTCTGATTTTACAAGACAAGCTGCCTTTGGCAGAGGCCTTTGTCAAAGGACACAGACAGCTTGAAAAGCAGCTTGTTATGTTACTAGACTCTTGGTGTCACCCGGACTTCAATGTGGAGGACATAAGAAAGTATGCTATGTGAATTTGTAGGAACTGACAATGAACTGTGCTTTTCATATTTACTGGTACCTTTGGTAAACATGTCTAAAATGTCTTCATATAAACATAATCTCACTATGAATGTTTTAGAAAATACAACTTTTAATTTTAGTACATTTATTCGGTGTGGGTAAACATGCTAAGTTAAAAATTGTTTCGAATAAAATCACTAGCCACACTCCTGACAATCCCTTCAAAATGAATGTAACTGAAAAACTATTTATGCTTTTATTTTTATCAAAGTTTCAAGAAAATTCAAGGCAGAACAAAAACTTGAGCATATCCCCTTACTTTGTACTTGTTGAGAATTTGTGGTGTGTGATCTATCCCACACCATAGATCAGGTGTGTGATATTGATGGATCAACTTTGACCCTCCCATTGCGTGCCTGGACAGTTCAGTTGAATCCAAGTTGAAAGGAACCTTTGTAGATCATAAGATGAAAGAATCATTTGAAAGTGGCATAAGATAATAGGTCTTTCAGAAACAAATACTGGTGATTGGCTAGGCATAACACAACAGGTGAATATGTATAAAAGCAACTTGTAACTGTGGTGTATCCACGGTTCATTAAAAGTTGATCTTCAAAGCATTGAATGCAATAAATTTTAAAATTGCTGAGTACAATTTTTCATAAACACATTCATAACCAATCCCTAGTATAAGGGGCTTGTCACTCCAACTGTTGATGAGTATTAGTGCCATGGCTGAAATATTAATATAGCTCATGTAAGTTTTAAGATCTGACTTTAAATGATGTCACATGAACAAAATTACCTACATTTAATGTTAATTAAATTTCTTATTTAATGGAAACTCCATAGCTGTAAAATTGTGTTTTTCGATCTTAGCAGAATATAAAAAAGTTTTGCGCACAATTGTAATAAAATTACATTCACCATATAAGTTTATGTATTTGTCCTTCCACAGGAAGTTTCCTTGGCTCTCTCTGTCCACACACTACATGGCACAGATTCAACCCAAAATGCTCACCAGACATGTTGTACGGCTCATGGAAAAATTCAAAATTGACCAAAGTGGGTGACTAACGTGTCACTATGTTTTAATGTGTTTTGTTCCTTTTCCACATATTCACACTCCTACGTCTTCTTGTCAACATAGGCCTCTGTCCAAATGCTTTTCACAAGAGGAGACTGGATTCTCTGCGTTATCTTGTGTATAAGACATTTGGGGACGTAAGTGATGCAGCAGAGTCTTGCAGCCAGCAGACTTTTAAAGGCTTTAAAGTCACTCTTAACATTGAGGTTCACTGTCAATTTCTGCACAGATTATGAAATACAATGACAATAGTAAACCTTAGGTTTCTTTTGTGGGTTTTTTTGGGTAGAAATCCATGACAGAGGAGAATTGGACAGATCATGTGCAAGTAAGTTTTAATCTGATTATGCTTATTAGATTCTTTTATCTTGCACCACTACGTTTTTAAAGCGGTTCAGTGCTTAAGTTTGTTTCATATGTGTACAGTATGTGGTGGCAGATGACCTTGAGCTTCAAGTCCATTTGGTGGAGCTCTTGGTGAAGTACAGCAGTCTTCAGAAAGCCTCACAGTGGTCTCTGAGATACAATATCCCTAAAAATCGACTTTCTCAGGGGGTATGGGAAATGCAGCAGAGTCTGCCACCTGATCGACAGTGAGTTAACCAGAAATATGTAAAGATACGTCCTACAATAAAACTAAGTGACCTATCTTAGTTTTATTGTAGGTCACTAGCAATAAATTAGTTTTTAGTTTTATAAAATATTAAATAGAACTTCCAGTTTTTTTTATTTCATACTTTCTATGGATATTGTGTTTTCTTTCTTTTTCCTATTTTTCATATTCCTTTGCTATATTTTTGTTGCACATGTTTTCTCTTTGTGCTCAGACAGATATGTTTGAACGATCTCTCACAAGAGGAGTGGATCCCACCTCAGTCTCACTGTCAGAAGTTTTACCAGGTGCCTCTCACCAGAGACAAAGTCTACTTTGTAGATACGCTGGAAACTCTACAAAGATGTCAAAGCATTGTTCTCAAGGTACAGAGATCTAGCAGTTTTTTTTTTTTAATTCTATATGTTTTTTTATATTGACACATTCTTTTTGTGTGTCCATTCCAGGAGACTGGTGTAGTAGGAGTTGACATGGAGTGGCAGCCTACGTTCGGCTGTGTCACTGCTCAGAAAGTTGCTCTGATACAACTCGCTGTTCTTGACCAAGTTTTCTTATTAGACCTTTGTGCAAAAGGATTCTGTCGCCACCCCGATCTAGTTGGTTTCATCAGGGCCTTGTTTCATGAACGAAATATTCTCAAGCTGGGTAAGTAACAGCCAAATAAAATGGTAATCAGTTTTATTCAGGGACTGAGTTTAAATACAAAGAACATCTCTGAATCACTGTACAGGTTATGGTATGACTGGGGATCTCAAGTGTCTCTCTGCCACCTGGCCTGAGTTATCAGAGGAGCCCCTGAAGATGGAGGGAATGCTCGATCTTCTTAAAGTACACCAAGAGGTGCCTTTAACCCATCAGTCACATCATTTCTACAAACTCAACTAAATCAATCAGTTGACCAAACAGTATATGTCTTTGTTATTACAAGTTTAAATTTTCTATTGGACTGATGTAATCTAATGGCATTAGCATTTCTAGCACTAAGGCTGCTAATGTCCAGTTATATCAAACCTTTAAAGTAGAAGCTCTTCTTTTAAACAGATTCTACATTTTAACTTCAAAATAATTTCTAGTAGGTTTCCAAAAATCTATTGCGTTGAATATTAGAGATAAAACAGTCTGTGATTTATGGTTAATATCCTATTGCCTGTTTTTAAAAATTGTGCCCTTTCATTTCTCTTCTAAAACTAGAATTGACTGTTTCTTTTTTCTTCTTCTCGCGTTTCTTTTTTGAGTTGTCGTCATTTGTTTTCATTAGGAGTAGAGACGACTTTACACTGGGTGCACAAGAGAATATGCGCTATTTTTAGACAACAAAACAGTGACAGAATTGAAATTTCAATCTGTTTAGCACCTTATATTAGGTATTTTAATAATATTTGCAAGTAATATTACTACCTTAATACTGAGATTTCCAAAAAGCTGCAGTCATTTCAAATCCAGCTTGTTCTTTTTGCCAAAAAGTCAAGAAAGTCAAGTTGACAGTGAAAAGGAACCAGTTGAGGTGCTTAAATTTCATGCTTCATGTCTCGGGCTGACGCAGGACTTTTCAGAGATTTAAATTTTAGCTTTTATAACAGAAGTTAAATTGGCTTCAGAGCTTTATAATTCAAAACAAATAAACAGTTAGTAGTTCATTTAGATTTTTCTTAGCTCAGTAACATCATCTACACTGATGAACATTACGGTTAAATTTCTTTTTGGATCTCTAGATCCAATACCTGAAAAGATTAAGCAAAACTTCTTCATCTGTAGGTAATATTCAGTCTTCTGACTGAAGACTGGTATGTTTTGTGTTTTACCTCTTCAGATTCAGCGTGGAAAGGTGAATCGATTTCAAAATGCCCCGAGAGAGGTCCTGGTTGGTGAGGACAGTTCAGAGAAAGGCCTCAGTTTGCTGGTGCAGCAGGTCCTGGGAAAGCCTCTGGACAAGACAGAGCAGATGTCTAACTGGGAGAAGCGTCCACTGCGCATCAGCCAAATTAGATATGCAGGTATGGCATTATGCATGCACACACAGACAATAACAGAGAGCCAGATGGTCGCTGCTCTCCTCTCCATAGAACATCAGAGATTATTTTGTTATCCTCTGACAAAATGCAAAGTGATAATTCACCCCCCCTTGGTCCTTCTCTCTTTTTTTCCAAACTCTTCTCTAGTGGCAGATGCCTACTGCTTGCTGGATGTGTACTCGGCTCTGTCCAGGAACCCAGCGAGCTTTGGGCTGCCTGCTGACCTGCGCAGTATCACTTCAGGCCAATCAGAGACGAATAAAGACAAGCAGAAGGAGAAAAGGGGCAAGAAGGCAGCACAGGATTCTAGGAAAGAGGTAATGCCTCGGCGAGGAATTCTGGAACTGCTACACATTATTGGGAAAATATGTTTCTTTCTAGTCTATAATGTGAATGATTTTCACAAGAGCATCTTACTGAATAGGTATAAGAGCAATTCATCAATACAGTTCTATTTCTAAATGTATAGGGCCGCATTTTATGATGGCACTTTAATTGACATTACTTTAAAACAGGTACAAATGTAAACATTCCTTCTGCTTGGATTATCACAGATGGTCAGATTTTTTTTCTCTATATTTAGTTTCCAGATTAGTTCGTTGGACCCAACCTAAACTCAGAGTCAGGATACTCTTTGATTCATGCCATAAAGGCCTTCATTCCTATTTTATTATTTAGGTGGATATCGAATTAAAGTGTTTTATGGGTATGTCAGTTTGCAAAAGGAATTGCCAGAATGTGAAGCTTAATGAATTATTTTTTTTAAAAAACTCTGAAGAAATGCACAATGTTGTGTTGTTATAAGTTTAAGATTTAATTGAAATAAAACAGTCTCACATGGTGGACAGGAGTTAAATTTTTTTTAGCAAAGCTACATATTCTCCATGCAGATAATATCTTCCTTAATCATATTTTATTGCATGAAAAATTTCATGCAATAATTTGCATGAAATGTTTGATAACTCAAACACAAGCATCATCAATTATAAATTTAGCTTTCACTTATGACATGAATTTCAAACTTTGAAGGTTTTCTGTAGTAGGTGCACAAATAGTGGATTTATAAACCAGTTGTAGGTGAATTCAGGTTTTTCTGAAGCCCCCAGGCCAGCAGGGGGCCCTAAGCAACAGCAAAGTATGCATATAAACTCTGCAAAGACTGGATGTGGCAAACATTCCAGACATTATTCTTGCTATCCCATCTCCCTATAGGGAAGCAGAGAGTAAAGAACGAAGAGCAGACTTAAACCCTATGATTATCTTTAGGCTGTCTTTAGGATGTCTACTTAGTGACACTTTCTGCTGAGTCTTACATGCCATATTTAATTTTTAAGTTGATCATTGTTCTGAAATCAGAACCCTGATTAATTCAGCCCAAAAAGACTGAATTAAGGCTCTAAACCTGTCTGAGACGTTCCATCATTGGGATAAATTCCAGGAATAATTAAGAATTTTTGATGGTCTCAGTGCAAAAAGGTTAAGTGCAGTTAGCACATCTTTTCTGCAGTAGATACTCTCTTGGGATCTCATTTAGTGCTTTCTTATGAGCCTTTAGCCCATCTTCATGTTTGCATATGATGATTACTTACACAGAAACCAGTGATTATTTACATAAAAAGTGAATGTAGGAGGCGGTGCACCACCAATGATCTTCTTATGTGAAACACGTTTTGAGAATAGAACATGTAAGGCATCTCCAGGATAAATAACAGATTAAGTTAGCTTTATTTTGTCCATTGTGCAATTCATTTGTAGTCCTACAGTGCACAAGTGATGCCTAAAATGCAACCCCCAAATCAAAATACGGCAATGTGCCTAATAGGAACTGTTTAAAATCTTTATAAAGATGTTCAGATTCATACTTGAATGTCATTGGAGGGAAGGGAAGGCATAGATTTTTATGTAAAATTAAAGTAGTATTTTTAAATGCATACTAAAGGGCTACTTAAGCACTTTAAAATCAATATGAGACTCCCTGCTAATTTAAAACTAACAGTAGTTTTAAAAAGATGACAAAACACAATCCAATAAAAATTTCTTACAGATTAACAATATGATAGATTAATAAATCAAGTAATATCGATGAAAATAGGTTAATAATAGATGTTTTCATCATGGCAACATTTTAAGAATAGTGTCAGAATTTCATGTTATCCTGATGTTGTGCTGCTCTAAATGCTGCCAGTGTGACAAAGTGAGAAATTTTATTACTGTTTTTTGTATTTTGAGTTGTGGAAATGGCTTTAGGCCATTTATATCCTCCTTAGAGTTGGTATAGTGCAGTTATCTCACATTCAGACTATAATCAGAAACCATAACCAGATCTATTTAAAGAAGAGCAACTGTGCTAATTTGACAATTCTTAATTCTGTGATAACCTGTGACCTTTTGTGTGACTTGTGTGAATGAATAAAGGCAACCTCCAGCTGAAGGCCCTGGGTTTGAGCATTCAGCCTGCAGGGAGAGACAATGAGTGTTTGACAAAGGCCCTTCACGAGTTCCTATCAGCTCCAGGGGTGCAGTTGTATAACTCACCCTGTGCTTTGACCTCTCTGAACTGAGGTGCAAGTGAAAAGAAAATCCCCCTACAGGGATCGGTTAAATATCACATTATTCTCTGTGTCCATTTAGGAATGTCAGGGGGCTCAGAGGGTCAGTCCCCCTTATTCTGACACACTGAAAGGCCTCCTGTGTGGCGAGCAGCCCTCAGAAGACACTCCGCCCCTAACCCCCCAGCAGTTGCGGGTGGTGTGTGACAACATGCTGCAAGGACTGGGAAGATATCTGCGGTGTTTGGGAGTTGACGTGGTCATGCTGGAAAACACTGATGATCACAGAGTGGCAGCAAAGGTTGGTTAGAAAGCTATTAAGAGGAAGTCTGTTTTCTTTTCTTACAAAAATATTTAAAAAATTACCAAAGTACCACAAAAAATTTAAACAATAAAGTTGTGAAGTAAAGCCTTTACCACAAAAATATTTTTTTTCTTAAATATAATCCAGGTTTTGGACAGACCAAAATCTATGACCTTGTCCAAATGTTGTAATATGATCAACATCCAGTTTACATAAACAGCCACTGAAACTTACTTTTTAGCCAAAATCCAGATTCTTCAGTGAAACATTTATAAATCTTTTGTGCTGCAAATACAAGTTGTTTGAATGTGTGATGTCATACTTAACCACATAAAGTCTGAATGTCATTTTTGGGTACTTGAGGAGTTGGAATGTTTCCACCTATTGTTAATAAAATGTTGGTGACATCATCAGCTACTCCATTTTATTATGATTTTAGAGGTCTCCACGGTTGTGTGATTCAGCGGCTAAATGTAGCGACAGCTCATGTACGGCTTGTACTCTTTCCCATAAAATTATCCATCCATCCATCCATTCTTTCACTTGGTTGTGTGTTCATCTATTTATAAATTTGAAATATTTTTAAAGGAGCATTAAAAATTGCGGAATTTTAACATGAAATTGTGTCTGAACCCCGGTAAATGTCCAGCATTCAGCACTTACAGTTACTTCAGACTAATAAAAACCCGTTAATTGTGCAGTAAATTAACGGGGAGGTTTTTTGTGCGCTTTCAGTTGGCACAAGATGAAGGCCGTGTCATCCTCACATGTGGTCAGCCGTTCCAAACTGTAAGTACATGCAAAATCGAGTGCAATGTAAAAGCCAAATGGGTTTACATGGATGTATTCGTGATTATTATCCCTATTGTTTTGTTAACATGCTTCAACTGTCTTCCAGTTACGTTCCCAGGTGGGTGAAGGTCGTTGTCTGTCCTTAGACTGTTCAGAGAAGGCCAGAGACCAGGCTATTCGAGTCCTAAGACACTTCAATGTCCAGCCTACTCCAAGTGACATATTCAGCCGCTGTCAGGTATGTTTCCTTGTAATTTTGTTCTCCTATTGTCTAGTGTAGTGCAAACATTGTTTAATGGTTAAATTAAACAATGTTTAGTTTACCTCTACCCAGACACAAAACCTTACTTATACATAAACGTTGACATTTGGTCTCATCTGAACATAGCAGAATACCTCTGCAATGAACAGTAAGTAGCATGTCATTAGGGCTTCAATCATTAGAAAATGAACCAAATGGTAAGCATGATGACAATCATATTAGTTGTGATAATATACACATTTTCTTCATATCTGTCTTTTATATCCCTGCCAACCACTGGCTTCCCAATGTAAGGTTTTGCATAATCTGCATAATGACTTTTGTCAATGTGGGCAGGTACTGCATTGAGACTCCATCCAGGAGCGTGAATGTAAACAGTCCTTTTTGTTTTTGATATTCCACATATTGATTTTGCTGGGTCAAGATATTTTTGATGCTTTATGCGGTTCTACAGGTCATAAGGATGACACAGGGAAAAACTAAATTTCTTTGTCGTAGTATAAAGATACTACACTACTACATATATACAATACATTTATTTAATTCTACATTAAGTTGTAATTGTGTTTATAAAATTTTTGTTGTTGTTGAATCAAAACACTATGAGAAAAAGGAAAAACATTTCTAAAATTAATAATAAGGAAGTACTTCTGTGGTTTTAAAACTTGTTCAGCAATCACTGAGTTCGCAATTGAAAATAAAACTTGTGGAGATCATTCTTGTTTCAAATGCAAGACAAAAGCAGAACACATTAACTTGCAATGATGGGAACGCTATCAGAGGAGAAACTGTCATTTGTGAATGGGGAACATGTCGGACTCTTCTGGAGATAAAAACCTAAAACTATGCAGAAACGCATTGCTATGCAATGTTTTACTTTGCATACACTACTGGGCCTGAAACAAGCTGCTGCAAAGCTGTTAAGTTGACGAAAGGTTGAGTAAGATGCGGAAAAGATGGAATAAGAAAGTGATTAGTGTGTTGTTGGCAGTAAATTGGGCAGTACAGTGAGATTTAGAGGCCAAAGTTAGCTTATTTTAAATGATCAACTATAGGAACAACTTTCGTGTGGAAAGCTATAAATTAACATCTTGGTATATCTAATTAGTATACCTCCTGGTAACCTCCTTGTGGAGGTATTCCAGGCATGTCCAGATGGAGGGAGGCCCCTGAAGCAGACTCAGGAGACACAGAAAGGGATTGCATTTCCCATCTGGTCTGGGAATGCTTTGAGACCCACAGCGGTGACTGGAGGATGTGGTAGGGAGGACAGACGTCTGGATTACATCGGTCGGCTTGTGGTCACCAGAGCTTTGAATTGTACTGGTGCTTAACAGTGGAAAAAAAATATTCTAAGCAGTAGTCAATTATTTGCTCAATATAGTTTAAAGGACAGCATTTGAGAAAAATGGAAAAAAAAGTAAGCAAAGATAAGCATGTATAATTCAGAAGATTTTTGAGAAACACAAATAACTTTTTCACAAGTAATTTCTTGTAAAAAAAACAAAACAAAATCTGCTTTTTGTTGTTTAATTCTACAGACATTAACAGTTCAAACCCAGAGTACTCTACAGAATCCTCAACCTGTCGCAGTCAGTGATTTTAAACTATTAACACAGAGGCAGTGTTTTTAATAGTTTATTTTTTCGCACAGATTTTTTTTACAGTTAAGTTCCTATTAAATAAAGAAATGTAATTTATAATGTTGCTGTTGATGCACATCATTGAATACTAATTCTTTGTAACTACCTACATGTTTGCCATGTTTGTTGAGACTGGAGAATAATTCAGATATTGTTATCAGTGAATTAGTGATTTATGCTACCTGACCTGCAGATGTCTTTGTGGGTGGCTGTTTAGGGAAGCCATGTGTCTGCCGGTGACTGTGTTTGTGTGTGTGTTTGTTCTTGTGGTTTCAATGGGAATCTTTGCGAGAGGGTTCCTAAACCTGGGTGTTCTGGCCTGCTCCTGGAGGAGGAGACAAATGTATCAAGATACGCCACAAACTGTGTCTCTGTCAGGCTTGAAATGTTACAAATGTGGACCACCTTGATGCTTCCTGCTGTCCAAACTCAGCTAAACAACTATTTATAATAAGGAAGAACATGGTTCACTGCTGAAATGACATAAAGAGAGGGAAATTGTGTCTCTAAATTAATTAAATGCTTTATTACTCTAGTAAAGATACAAACAAAGCCAGAGAAAGAAAACATTTCATCCTTACCTCTGACATAACTTTCTTCATTAGCATGTCTGGAATCTCTGTTAAGGAATTTATTCTTTCATAGTTTGTCTTATACTATTCTCCTACCGTAAAGTTCAATTTTGATTTTACTTTTTCTCCTTAATGTGACAATGCTAACACAATTTAGTATCCTGCTATTTGTCCTTATGTGTTACACAGATCTAGAGAGGCTCACCCTTAGGCTGTGCTGTGGCCCACCCAGGCAAACTTAACCCCTTTGTTGTCTGATTGTAAAGCTTTCTGATTAGCGTTGGACAGGTCAGTTTCCCTCCTTTGTCACCATTTGTCTTCTTTTCATTCATATACACCAGTGAAGAATGTCACGTGAAAAATGAAAGTAAAAGAGAAGAGATACAGGATTAACCAATGACTTAATGACTTTATAATTTTAGAGGCATTAAGAAATGTGTTTTTGATGGCTGTTTTAGAACTCCCTGGACTCCAAAAGTATTAAAGTAATGCTGTTTGTCTTCTTACTTCAACAATAAAAATATTGCATTTAATTTATTTTTCTAGTAAAACACCTACTTGTGTTGGAATGTTTTGTGTTACATTTACTATGAACAATCTCACTTTGGATATAATCTAAAATAAGAGGTCTTTTGAAACATTTACATTTGGAAAGTAATTTTAGTTATTACCTGAAACATATGGCATTTATTTATTTAGAGACACTTATTTCTAATTTCTAAAAAAGTATCTCAACGCAATGATGAAACTTTATTAAAGTTGCAGCTACAGTCGTGCAGTTTGTTTTGGTTTGTAGCAAGATGTATTTTGAAGTAACTGGTTTGGGGTCTACTTTAATTTTATCCACTTTATTGCAGTCACACACTGACAGGTCCTTTTGAAGCCTGGACAAGCCTCACCATTCCTGCTTGTTTTTCTGTTTTTCTGTACCTTTCATCAGCTACTGGTGTGTGTTTATATGAACTTAAACCAAAACAAAATTATTCCTGTGATCAGTAGATTTTTTTTTTCTGTTGGTAACCAACATGTCTTAAATGAAGATTAAGAATCTTAGTTTAAAATAACTGGCAATATCCATGCAAGTGTGTATTTTCACTTGTAAAGTGGAGGAAAGAAAAACTTTGTTCTTGGACGCTAGCCAACAATAGAAGAGATACCTTGGCTTCTGAAAAGAATTTACAGCCCTGATGAGAGCAGATCAGGTATCACTTTAGGCATCCAAAGTACCTTTTAGTTAAATAGTACTTAGTTATGACTTTTTATGATCGATTACAATCAATTAGTGTAGGAAAATCACTATTTTTTCCTTCAGTAATTGCATTCTCAACCTGCAACAGAAAGCTATCACTTAAAAATAGCTAAACACACAACTATTTTTCCCTGAGGGATTTGAAAGCAAACAGAAAGCCAAGCCAATACTGAAATAAATCTAATTTTAACCTTTGTTGTCTGTAGTGGAGTTGACAAAGTAGCTAAATATGCAGGTATGTGTAATATTTTCAATTTGGTTTTATCAGAAAATCCTTGATAAAACTAAATTTGAACTTTTGAGCCACAATTTTAAAAGGTTTGTTTGGTGCAAAAACCACGGTGTATGCCCCCAAATGAATAGCATACAGTGAAACATGGTGGTGGATTGAAAAGGTGGATGGATTTATGGACAAAACATTTAGGTATCTGCTTGAAAGCTGAAGATAAAATATAGGGTGTGCTTCTCAACTCTACAGGGTGTGAAACGTGTTAGAATCAACAAGTTGGGATTGTTAGAGATTCCTAAAAATACTGAATGCTGAATATAAATAAAAGCGTCATTCTACAAAAATTAAGTGTTTACATAAGTATGCAACTAAGTTATTTGTTTTTTAGATCTGGTCCTCATCACATTTTCTTGTTTTCCTGTTGACTTGAACAAGATATGTCTCATATTAAGGGCTGCGAATGTTTAATATTTGCCGATCATGGTCATGTGCAAATTATTGAGACAATTTTAACATTGCACAGCCTATTGTTGCAGTTACTTTGTTTTCCCACCACTAATGCCTGCTGCACCTAAACGTTCCCTGCATGTTCACACGCACACACACTTCTGTTGGGTTGTGCAGCTCTATGAAATGTGACCACAAGCCTTTTATAGACACGTTGAGATCTTCTGTGAGTTAAATCCAACAGACACACAGCACAGTGATGCATCTGCGCAACTCAGATCTGACAAACATGCACAGATAACATCATGCTGTACACACAGGCACCTCAGAACCTTCAAAAGGCTTGGTCGCACTTCTGTTCAGGCTCAGCTGAAGACGCTGTTGCAGTGAAAGCGCTGGTTCCCACACACTGCACTACTGGGGAAGTGAAAACAAGAGCAACAGGAACCGCCAAACTGTGAGAGGGAGGGGCGAGAGAGAGAGTGGGGAGTTTGGGGGTGAGAATAGAGAGGAGATGGCAGGGAGGTAAAAAAGATGGGAACAAATTTAACCACTTGAGAAAGTTTGGAGGAAAAAGATGTAAAGGGAAGAAAGGCTGGAATGGATTACTTTGTGGGGAAAGGAGATGAGAGTTCATTGAATGAAGGATAGCAGGAGGAAGAGAGAGTGAAGGATAAGGAGGGGTGGAATAGAGCAGGGCAGTAGAAAGGACTCGTCCATCCTTTGATCTTCTTGGAGAGCCGCAAGCTGAGAAACCGGAGGAATGTGAGAGGCTGAGACACAGTTAATGTTAACCTTCACAAGCTGTTAATCAGTGTCAGGACTGCTGGATATGT